AACATCTTCTGCGATTTTTTTTTTTTTGCGTAACTTGTCAGTGAACTATGGCTATGTGTAGTAAATTCTGCTCAATCTGAAAGCACGTGATGATGATTTCCTGCTGATTACAGAACTGTCTTTTTTAACAAAATGCGCATGACAATCGCATTCGATTAATCGTGCAGCCCTACAGGCAACCATCATCATGTAGATGAGATGGAATTACGTTACGTGATTGTCCTTGTTTCCGTGCAGTCAGAGGATGGAGTCACTGTTGTTTTTCCCTTTACTGGGGAGGATGTTTCATCTGTTTCTCCTTTGTTGACATGATTCGGCGTTCCTGTCTCTGTACTGTCAGGTTCAGTTACTGTGGCCTCTGAAGCACACCTGAGCTGAACTCTGCTAAGTGTGTGTGTGAGCAGATCCCACGGCTCCTCCTTGTGACCTTGCTTGCACCAAAATATCTCTAAATTAAAGAGAATGGAAAAAGGAAGTGATGGGGAGAAGGGGTGGAGTAAATTCTGTCAGGGTAAATGAATAACTAACGTTATTCATCATAACATAAGATTGGTTTTCCTGGAGGTCAGCCTGTTAACCCCGTGTGCTGCCCTCAAATGAGTGTACTGAAAAGGTATGACACTATCTATGACACACTTTATGACTGCTGTCTAACCCATGATGATCAATCTGTTAGTTACCACTGCTAGTCTCAGACACAAGCAAAGTTGTAGCGAATCAGCTCATGGGGAAATATGAATAATTAATCATAACTAGTTATAATTAATTATAAATATTTAGATCCGCTGTAGATATTTACTTGACCTCTCAGGGGCAACGGTCTGTCAATTCTAAGAACGTTAATTTCCTGGTTAAGGGAAATAACTTTCTTACTGTATGTATCTACACAGAGCCTGTAGCATAAATCTGCAGTTATGAGCAAACAATGACCAACGTCAAGTGTGATACAAGTAAGACTTTATTAACTACATAAACACTTAAACTAGTCTAACATACTACATAAACAATTAAACTGAAATCAAATGAAAAATGGTGTGTCTGATTGGTCCAGACGCTACAGAGTTTTCAATACAGTCCTGGTATGGTATGGCATTGGGGCATAAATGTATTGCAGTGCATTTTATGTTTTATAAAAACATTTATATTATATTATATTATATTATATTATATTATATTATATTGTTGAAAAGTTTGGGTCAGATTATTTATTTATTTAGCACTAATGGCAGGTTTGTCATTAGTGCATAAATGTATTAATATATTGACTTATTTTTAATTACTTATATAGTTAATGTATTAAAAATGTTAAATATGATGTAATATAAACTACTATTTAAAAATGTGGTTTTGTATGATTCATTATATTTTATTCGTTCAGCTTCACAAAGTTCAAGCAAGTATTTATTAAAATAAAAAGATGTATTTCAAGTGAATGCTGTTCTTTTGAAATTTCTGTTTATCAAAGAATATTGAAAAGAAAAAAAAAATCATGGTTTTCACAAACATATGAAGCTGCACAATTGTTTTCAACATTGACAATAACATTGACAATAATAATCAGAAATGTTTCTTGAGCACCAAATCAGAATTTTAAATGATTTCTGAAGGATCATGTGACAATAAGTGCTAAAAATTTAGCTTTGCCATCACAGAAATACATTACATTTTATAATATATTGCAACAGGGGGGAAAAAGTAATACAATTTCACAATATTATTTTTACTATATTTCTAATCTAATAAATGCAGGCCTTGGTGAGGATAAGATATTTTCTTTTGAGGTGAAGGGTAAGTTTGTAAATCGATGTGTGTGCTGGTTGTTTAGTATTCAGGACTCTCAAAGTGTCTCAGAGGACACGGTGCAGTTTGTCGATCAGAGGAGGTGATGCTGACATCTTCATCAGCTCTTCTCTCAGTACGAGAGGTTGAACACACACATCCTTATCACACCATCATCTCCTTCACATTGACCCTGCCTAATCAATTCACACACACTCCTGCTTTTACCATTCACATCTTGTTCAATAACAGTTCCACGCCAGACGGATCGATGGATCTCCACCAATACAAACACTTACACACACACACCCCATGTCCTCATGTGTCCCCAGTGAGCTGCAGGACTGCGGTGTATTGCGTCAGTACTGTTGTGATTCCTGTGGTGTGAGATGCAGGGAGGAGGTCATGACGCACTCCTGTGGCACACTGTCAGATCCGTCAGCGCTCTCTAGAGCTTTGTGTGTGTGTGTGTGTGTGCGTTGTAGGGGTGTGTCCAAAAAAGTCATCGCTCATAAATGCAGACAAAGGAGCTGCTGGTTGTTAATGTTAATTAATACATTCATTAACCTACTGCTAACCTCAGTGCATGATTGACACAACCTCACAGTTCTGAATGTGCTGATGGCTGGATTTGTACTCATGTGTCGTGAGCTGCAGGACTGCGGTGTATTGCGTCAGTACTGTTGTGATTCCTGTGGTGTGAGATGCAGGGAGGAGGTCATGACGCACTCCTGTGGCACACTGTCAGATCCGTCAGCGCTCTCTAGAGCTTTGTGTGTGTGTGTGTGTGTGTGCGTTGTAGGGGTGTGTCCAAAAAAGTCATCGCTCATAAATGCAGACAAAGGAGCTGCTGGTTGTTAATGTTAATTAATACATTCATTAACCTACTGCTAACCTCAGTGCATGATTGACACAACCTCACAGTTCTGAATGTGCTGATGGCTGGATTTGTAATGCATGCTGGGAAAAAAGACAATAAGCTCCAGATTTGTCATATTGCCTGTGTGCTCCAGTCAGTCAGATGGAGACGTGCCATTTGCAGCTTTAATAACACACAGGCCATTGTAAGAGAGAGTTGTAAATCTCACGCAGTGATTTGCTAAAGTTTCGTTTTATATTTTAAAGTCAAGCCATCCTCCTCTCTTACTCGGTTTAGTGCGGAGTTAATACGGTCTTTGGAATAATTTTTGCACATGGCTAATAAAGCCTGTCATGGCTCTTACCTGCATTAGTGGCACTTAGATTTATTTAAGTCATCATATTTGAGTCATTTAGTTTGGATTGGACAGCAATCAGTAGTCTTAAGTTTCTGTCACAGTTGTTGGACCAAATTTTGGACAACCACAGATTGGACACAAAAATGTTATATGCTCTCGAATGATTAATACTTGTGTTCAGTTTTCCCAGAAGAGAAAGCCTTTCTTTCTTTCTTTCTTTCTTTCGCTCTCATAGTCATTACTATTGTAACGGTTAAAAAAAATATCAGTACCATCCTCATTACTTTGTGAATTAATTTAAAATGCAATTCTTATTGTAATATTTAAATACAAATGATTATTACAGGTCAGTATTAGAGTTACAGTATTTAATAACTCATTACTTAAATTCAAAGGAAAACATAATATATACATATTTTTAGAAATTAGTTTAAACATTTAAATAAAAATATTTATTTATTTGTTCTCTTTACTTCAATAAAATGGAATACATTTTTTGTAATATTTAAGTGAAAATGCAGTTAGAGTTTTTTTTCCTCCTATTTGCATTTTGCAGTGCAATGTGATCTGGGTGTTTTATTGTGTGATTCCCTCAATGTCAGTATAACAACAGTATCTGAACGGTGCAGTTGTTCTGTTTCTGGCCATTTTTTGTCTAATACGTCATTTAGTTTATTTAATGTCCCCTGTCTAGTTTTTCTGATTGTGTTCATGTAACAGAGTAGCTATTCATGTGTAACCCTGCGTCATACTTTTCTGCTCATCCAGAGTCTTATCAGGGTCTGGAGTCTCTAGAGACCAGACACTCATAAATCACATCACCCGCTGCCACCCAAACACTCCGCACCGAACCGGAGACCCTATTAACCTGCCCCTATCTTAATGAGTTAGTTAACACACTATTTTCTGTGAATGTAGCTCATCCCTGAGCTCGGGTGCCTGGGGAATGCTGGGAAAGTGTGATAATTGGCCATTGTTTATCATTGATTGCAGACTGATGAATGGGGCAAAAGGGACTCGACTTGTTTATGTCTTGTTTTGCTTTATCTCACTGCCACCCCCCCCCCTCCTCTCCATCACACCTCGTCTGAAGGCTGGAGTCAACGTGCTCCTGCAGGATGTGAACGGGAACATTCCACTCGACTACTCCGCAGAGGGGACGGAAACCAGCTAGATCCTCATCAGACACCTGGAGGAGAATGGTAGGGTCCTTCATTCATTTGGTTCCTTATTTACCAGGTTTGTATGACTAAATAAATGCATAACTAGGACCTGGAGATTGTTGAACAGTGCACTACCATTTGCAAGTGTGGGAGCGGTAATTTATATATATATATATATATATATACACACACAGTCGTTCAAACAGCACCTACACCACATGTTGTTTGGGAGGGTTTCAAGAAAAAAAATCAAGAAAAGAAATTGCTCTCATCCAAAAACAATCCCCAATTCTTCAAATTGTTTCTGAACTTCAAATGGAATTGGCTTCTATGGTCAGATGTAACTAAAAAAATAGCATTTTAGCAACAAACACTCAAGATGGGTTTGGTGCACACAGGGATAAAAAGTACCCCTTGTGTACAATGAAATATACTGCTGTATTTTTAATGTTGTGGGCCTATATTTCTGCTGGAGGTCCTGGACATCTTGTTTAGATACATGGCATCATGGATTCTATCAAATACCAACAGATAAAAAATCAAAAAGTGACTGACTCCTGAAATCTTATAATGGGCCATGTTTGAATCTTCCAGTCATACAATAATCCAAACACAAACCTTAAAAACAACATAAAAATGGGTCACTGGGCACAAAACCAAGCTTCTGCTATGG